TGTAATACAAATAGTAAATTCAGTGACCAAATCGTATAAATTTCGTGATAAAATCAGTGATCAAATCATGTAAATTCCATATGAATTCCGTGCAAATTCCGTATCCAAACCATATTTTTAGTGATACGGAATTGTGCATTTTTCCGTATCCTATTATGATACGTTATTTCTAAGGAAAAAAATCGTATAAAAACTTTATAAAAAACGTATCCAATTTTTTTATAGGGATAGCATTCATCTCATCTTCTACTCGACTTAAAATAAAATTTTCAATATACTAATTTTTTAAAAGAAAATATAAACTGAAACTATTTATAGTATTACTGTGACCTGAAGTAGGTTTCCATATAATTGGTTTATATCCTCCAAGAATTTCATTACTATAATAATTGTTATAGTATCAGATTTATTATTACAAATCTCATGAAATTTTTTAGGTGAAAACCCATCACGTGAACCACGAAGAATTAATTTGAATTCGTATAAATTTCTTATATTATCAGTAATTCCTAATTTATCAATCCATCTCGAAATTAATCCAACATGTTGAATTGTAATGATCCTTGAATAAATACTTTTTGAATTAATTTCTTTTGTTATCATCAGTTTTGATTTGTTATTTTGTCGATAAATAAAATTTTTAATTAATTCTTCACGTAATTCTTTTGGTATGATTTTTTTATATGGATATACTTTATCTATAAATTCTTTAGGAGTTAGATTATAGAATTTAATAAAAGGAATAAATTGTTGTAGAGTATCCTTCAGAACATTGAAATCATCTTTTGAATAACTCGAAGGATCTAAAGAAAGTTCAGGATTCTGAGCAATACCCCATTTAAGAACATGTTCCCAAATTTGAATATCATCCATTTGAATATTATCGTTTTGAATAAGAGAAATCAAACATTTTTTTTGAAAGTGAAGTAAAATCAATTGAATTAAAACTTTTTCGGGTTCTTTAGACATCAATTCCATACAAAAATTTTGTAATTTTAAGAAAGAATCGTTATTAAAACTTGTTTGATATATTAAGTTAAAATTTTGTTTTTTTATTTTCAATCAAAAATAATCGTAAGTGTGTGATTAATTCCTGAAGACTAAGTTCACTAGCATTAATCAAAATATTAACAATGTCTGAAGTATTATATTCCTCTAAAGAAAGTCTTCCGCCATATATATATATCTTAAAAAAAAAATTAATAAAAAAATTAAAATAAATAACCAATTATAATTCAGAATCTTCAAGTTATCCTTACCTTAAGATGATTTCTCCGTAAATACGGAGAACGACAATTTAAATAACCATATGAGCACGGAATATTTTTACATGAGGATCATCACCAACTTCAACAGTAGTATCATAAATTCATAATATTCATTATCATCTAAAATTTCATGTAAATTTTAAGATAATTTTTGTTATCATCCATTACAACTGGAGTTTACTTCAAATGTAAAACGCCCAATCGATGATCATTTTTATACTTGGGAATTTCCGGCTAAATTGGCTAAATTAAAGTGATGGATTAATTTAATTGGTGCAGGTACAATGCAGATGTGGTTACAGTTACACAGATACAATTCAATTCGTACCAACGGTACACCTGTATCATTTATTTACTTTTTTAATTGGTTTATATTATTGAATTTTTTTTGTAGTAAACTTGGATTTATGCAAAAGATATACTGTAAAATTATAAATTTTATATAGTATTAGGCTGTCTGCTTCATTTTTTAACTATAAATTAAAATAGAAATCGTAAAATTATTTTTTGGTGCAATTTACATTGTTACCAAATATAACGTACGTATATGGCGGCGCATGTTACCAAATGTAAATTTTTTCTGTGCAATTACTTTTAATTTTTATTTAAATTATCTAAAATTTGCATGTATGCCTATAAGAAATGGGTTGAATATGTAGCAGACGACTTAAAAACCAAAAAAAAAAAAAATTTAAAACTATATTGTTGCTGCTAAGAGTGAGCTTTAATTTATTATAAAAAAATTTATGCAAGCCATAAATTTAAACTGCAATTTTTGTTTTACTAAATTTGTGGCTAAAGTAACGACTAATAATATTACCAGTTTGTCCTGAAATTTTAATTCTTGTTTATTAAGAACAATATTACAATATTTAGTATATTTTATATAATTTTTTAGTCAGGTACAAGCAATGTAAAGCGGTTTTAAAACGATATTGAGTATTATACATACATGTATAGCCTCCGAGGTTGTATAATATAATTGATAAAATCTATACAGTATAGTTGCAAATTAACTATACTCTGAGTATAGAAATTTTTAATGCTACAATGCTATTATACTTTATAAATTTAGTACATGCCATTAGATAACTTGATAGACTTAGATGTTCAATAAAAAAATTTTTTAAATTAAAAAGTTTTCCTAATCACATTTATTATTTATTTATGCATTTTTAAGTAAAAAAAATCAAAATTCAAAAATAATCCATATAATAAAATAACAAATTCAGCTTTAGTTATTTATTACGAAAAAATAGAAATATGAGTGTTAAATTTTCGGTTAACTTCATAATTTATCATCTAATAATCCCGGAAGACATATTGGACGCGTCCTGTTCTCTACAAAAAGAAAAAAAATGAAACGTTAAAATGTTTCTTTAAGTTAAATCCCAATTAAATCTTCTATTGCAATATAGTACCCAAATTCTCTAAGCAATGTTGCTCTTAACCTGTACCTTTCAAGGTGTTCAGATAGGAGGCTTCTACGGTTAAAAAATTAAAAGAAACGTTAGTAAAGGAGAAACGTTAGTAAAGGTCCTACTAACGTCCTTTAACTCTCAATTCCCAGCGACTACTTTCATTCAAAACCAAGGCCAAAATCTTCGTTCAGACGTTCAAGTAGGTATTACAAAAGTAAAAGGACAAAAGAAATGCTAATAAAGTTTATTAACGTTCCCTAGATTACCACTTCCTAATTCCTACCTTCCATTGAAACCGATCTCAAGTTCTGAAGTCAAATATCCAGGACGTCCGGTAAGTACCTACAAAATAAAAAGAAATCATGAAATTTTTAGGTAGATTGGTGTTTTTTTCACATATATACAAAAAAGTATCGTGAGAACTTTGTTTTTGCATATTAATTTTAACAAAAATTTATTTAAAAAAATATAATACTGTACATTTGGAAATTCTAATGAATGTACAGTATATTGGCGGTCTTCAGAATTCATCCTTTGTATTTTTTTTTTTTTAAAAAAAAAATTTCTAGCCTATATGTAGTTAGAATCTTATCAAAGAAAATATTCAATATGAACAAATTAATTGTTTTCCATTATTCAAAAAAAACTTTTATTACATTTTTTTATTAAAATAAAATAAAATAAAAAAATGAATTTTAGATTTCTTCGAATCGAACTATAGTATACGTAATTTTGTCTCACAGATCTACATACAATTAGGTCAGCTTGCAGCAATGACGAACATTAATTAGTGATATTCATAATATTCATTCATATCAACACCGCCAACATTTAATCTGCATACACTAATTACTAGAACACGCATATGTATTCCCTTATTAGATAAATACAACTAACTATTATTGTAACTAAAATGAAAATTAATGAATCATTTGAAACATGATGTATTCCAAAAAAATACTAGTTACTTGATACAAAAAATTTTGTGTTCGATTTATTCTTGATCAACCTTTCATAACGAAAAAATCATAAAACTACGTAATAATTTTGAATCTAAAACTTGGTTTTGAAAATACTTTTTATTCTAGTATTATTTACGGTTACCGAAAATTCTGAATTACGATCAGAATGAAAGATTCAGAAGATTAAACATACGCCAATGATGATCAACCGCCTTAGCAGTTTAGCAGCTTTGATGTATGATTATAGTATTACATCACTAATCAATTTAATATAATTTTATATAAATATGGATCGTTTTTGCTTTTCAAGAGAATTTTATTATCCGCAAATATGCTTTCCGATAGCATAGAAACGAATGATTTTTTAAAATAAATTTTAGCCGTATTTACTCGTATATTCGTAGTTCGTTTTTTTTTATATTCGTTTTTATTTAAATTATTTAAATCATGCAAATGAAGATTTTAAACGATGAACAATCAAGTTTGTAAGTGACAACAAATAACTATTTTCACTTTTAAACAAACTTCCTAGGCAATCATAACTCACCTCGACAATCGTATATCTAAAAATCCCACCGCTATTCTTAATGTTTCGTCATCAAGGTAATTGTGAATTTTATGTAAGAAAATGTAAAAGTATAGATTTTGATTAATTTTTACTTTAAAAGTTTAAAAGACGGTTCTGGTATGATGAATTATTACGGTCACTCGACAACCTATCAGAAAAATAACTTTTCTAAAGTATTATCAATACGTGATGATATTATATAGGGAATTTATTTTATATTCTCCTTCACCCCGAAATCGTTTAGTCGTTATTGTTACTGCGGCAAAATAATAATAATAATCATTCCTTACGCACATCATTATATTTCATGTTTTTCATAGGTTAATAACTTTTTTTTTTTTTTTTTGAAAAAAAAAAAAAAAATAATAATTATCAACTATTCTTCGACATTCATTTACATTCATCAAATAAAATATAAAATTGTTTTTATGACGAGGTTCCATAATATTTAATCATATTTGATAAATAGATTATTAATTGTAATGAATCAATATATAAGAATATGTATTCATATATTACATAATAAAGTATATGATAAATTTGTGAATGTATTACGCATGTCTTATATACATTTTCGGCTTTTCCTTTTTTTCGTATCAACAATAAAAGCACTTCGCGAATTATTGGGGTGCGCTGTCAACTAATTAAATCAAAACTAAGTATGGTTTTATATATAAAAATTTTATTAATAAGATTTTTATTGATCAATATGATATCAAATTCGGGAATTTTCTTTGTCTTTTATTAGAAAAATCCCCAAGATTTTAAAATTCGATAACTTTTGGGATTCAATAAATATTAAAATTTAAAGAATACTCAATAGCTTAAAGAATAACATACAGTAATATCTCGCTTTTTCGAAAAAAATACTAAAGAAAAAAAATTTTATCTTATGGAAATGTATTAAAGAGTAAATATTTATTATTGTCGAAACTTAAATAATTTTTTGAAACAAATGAATGATTTATGATTATGTAAGCGTGGCCCTACTGTAAACTGTATAAATAAATTTCACGTGATCATATAAAACCGCGCCACAATTAGGGTTGTTATGATGATGACAAATGACGTCAATCATTTGGTATTTGTTATTAAAAATTTCCATTAACTTAATCTAGACACGATGGACGTGAAGCTAAAACATTTTCGTATTTTTCCCACACTGAATAATAAAAATGGGCAAACCACCACTAGTGGACTACTAGTGGTTCAGACTTTTGAAGGAAAAGATAAAAAAAGATGAAAAGGGAACGTGAAAAAGATGAACAGGAAAGGAGGAGGGAAGCAAAATGGAAAAATAAGGATGAAAGGAAGGAATGAAGAAGATGAAAAAGAAAGAGAAAAGAAGACAAAAGGAAGAAATAGTATACCGATATATTGTTATTAAAGAATATCTACTATTCATTATCTATTGTTATTAAAAATAAAATCCCAAAATTTTGATCTATTGTTATTGAAAAATCCCCAAAAATTTTTTATATATATATACTATACCGATCAAAAAAATCCTAGAAATTTTTTTATACCTATCTATTGTATTATCTCATTGGCGTCAAGATACGACTAGGAATAATGGCGGTTGTATTTGCGTATTTGTGTTTGGTTGGTGTTAACCTCTTTGGCACCACAAAAAAATTTTTACTGATTTTTTTAAAACAATTTTCATGCTAATAAAACTAATATGATATACACTAAATTTTAATTTTTTCATCTTAGTTTTAAGTCATATATAGAGGTCATAAAAATGAATATAAAATATTTTTAATTGACAGCAAGAATTACAAAATTAAGATTTATAGAGATGGGCGCCACTGCAATTGATGCATGATTTACCGTAGTAACACCACCAATTTTATAATTAAAATTTCACCCCACGTGACCGGTGACAGTTAAGTGGTTGTGAAAAAAATAATTTTGTAAGGCAAAAAAAAACTGTGTCCCTCAGATAAATATAAACAGTGAAAACGCGGTGGGGTGTGATGCCGGTGATGAATATTATTAGGTCACGTGGGGGTGAAAAATTTAGGGCCATCCTTAACCTGATCCACCGGTCCAGATGCTTATTCTGGACCAGTCAACTTTTGATTGGCTAATCAGCCCTTTTATTACATAACTCCGGCATAATTTATTTTATCTCTTACTCTTCCTATCTTTCACTCTTTCTCTATTCTTTTTTGTGGTATGTTAGTACTTAGTATTTCATATTTCATTTCAGTTTGTATATTTTAATTTTAATTGTATTTATTGTAGTTTTATGATAATACTAAATGTTTTTTATTTTCTTTTTGAAGAGTTTTATGATATATTGATATTATTCTGGAAATCAAGTGTTTTTTTTTTAAGTTTTGGGGTTAAGCAAAGTTGTTCAAAAAAGGTTGTAAATTACACATTTATAACAAAACTTTTAAAGCTAATATAATACTATTACTTTGTACTTTTGTTTTGATATTAACGTTAAAATAATTTTAATAATAAAATTACAGTAAAAAATAATGTAAAGACCTTTTTTATAAAGTTATATATGCAATTTTACTTATTTATTAATAAAGTTTAATAAAATGCATACCAAAGTACAAATTTTAAATAACATATTACTTTAAAATGGTAGTATTAAATGCTTTAAAAAAAGGCATTTCGTACCTTTTTTTTAAAAAAAAACGCGAATTGTTTTTTTTTCCAAGACAAATGTTACACAAAACAATCTCATCCAATTAGATTTGCTGGTCCAGGATAAGCATCTGGACCGTGGCCCAGGATAAGGATGCTCGTCCAAAAATTTAGTGGTGTTACTGGGGAAGTGTTGATACATGTATGGCATCACGTGCATGAAACCACAGCCCATCTCTAATCATGTTACTTAAATTTTATTGGTTAATGATCACGTGATCAGGTTTATCGAATCATTTTTACTATAGCTATAGAAAAATGTTTTTCTGGACTCTTTCCCACAAATTCCTGGAACAAAAATTTACGAAGTTGGACGTTTATTTTTTTAAATATTACAAATAACTTTCGTTTCCACTATATCAGAAAGAAGTTTGCTCAACACCTTACTTTTAAATTTTTTAAGTTCTTAACCTTTAAATATAATTTTTTTATGTCCTTTACCTCTTTGAAATATTTTCTTTGCAATTACTTTTTGTCGCTCTTCGTGTCTGAAAGTTAGGAACAACTTAAAAAATGTTGGGTTTGCGGCGTTCATCACCACTCCAAAATTGGGAGGTTCCGTTTACACAAAGCAGTATGCATCGCTCAAGATGCTCGATTTTATCATCGCCAAATTGCTCGTCAAACCTCAGCGGAAGGCATAAAAGCCAATGAACACGTTAAAAAAGTGCATTCTAACCGGCTTGGTATTGGCTACACCGTTACAACGTAGTGCACTATAACAATCACCCTGAATTAGTCAGATTAAACAAAACTCAACGTTTCGCTAAAGGGAAGAATAAAGTCCCTGACACTGCACCTTACACAACAACGACCGAACACGTATATTATAAGGAAGACTCTAAATTGACCTTTGATATCGTACGTTCTCCTCAACAAATCGAAAGATGGAACCGTATCACCGTAGTACGATTAATACTAGTCGTAAAAAATTTTTTACTGGACGCAGTCCTTCTAATCGTTTCATTCCTCAACCTGCCATGTTTAAACAAATTCAACATGTTCCTGAACGACATTATCACGCCCTTAACAATAGGGCATCTGACCCTTATAACAACGCTTTAAAGAATTACTTACGTGGTCAAAAAAGATGGTTACGCAGATAACAAACTGAAGAAACCATTACCACCTTTACCTATTGGTATCCAGGGAGATCCTCGTATATACTACAAAAATACGTACAATATTAACTTCTTTGACTATAAAGTTAGACGACGTTTCGACGTCAGTTTCATTCCGCAATAAATTATGGATATAATCGTGCTTTGCAACTTTATCAATTTGCGCAAAACCATCGACCAATAATCGTCGAAGATCTTACACACCGAGTAAATATACTAAATGGCAGATACATTATACCTGCAAAATCTCGTCTCTTACTAAACAAACCCGACGTCTATTTACGAAGAACTCCACCACCTGATAATGGATCGCATACACCTATTCACGATTCATCACACGTTCCGTACCGGATACCCCACGAGAGATCAGGGATGTTTACTTCACCTCCGCCGACTCCAGTGCGTCGATAGTTCTTTACAATCTCATAAAAACAATACCGGACCTCTTTATAACACCATTCTGCATCTGACAGTATTTACGTGCAGCATCGATTGATGAAAGTACAATACGGACATATGATTAAGCTGAAACTCCCTTTTTTTCTCCTGTTCGCTTTTTCCAATTTGTTGTCATCCTAATCAAAACCAGTATGGTTGCTGATTAGTTATTTTTTCTTTATTTTCTAGTAAGGGCCCGCTCCAGGGTTTTTTTGGGGGAAGTTCTATAATGGTTTCCTTTAAATTCGTTAGAATAGCTTGTGATTTTCATTGTAATTCTCCTTTACTATCCATAAAATAAAATAAATAAATAAAATAAAAATAAATTGATCCGTTATAGCGAATATCGAGCTTTTACTAATAAACTCCGGTATATCGAAACTATTTTAATATACGTGATTTGGTTCTGTGTATAATGTTAATCATTAATGGAATCATTAGAGTTCAGGATAATGTCAAAAAAAATATTCTATCCGGTTCCTAAATAAATGAAGAAACGTGTCGATGATATTATGAAACAAGTTATTGTTCGTACGAAAGTGAGCGATTTGATTTGCACATCACCAAGATAGTTTAAACTCAATTCAGTTTTGAAAATTTCTATAAACATGTTCCAATACGCAGTTAATGCACATTAAGACATATCAGACATAAGAAATATAAATATAAGGTGTAACTATCGTTATAAAAATTAAAAAAAATTAAAAAAATTTGTAACTATTTTTGACGATCTAAAAACAAGGACACGATAATCATATAATAATAAATACAATCTAATTTTCTTTTGGATATGGAAGATGATAAACATTAAAAGGATATCTTGAAAGATAATAAGTTTAAAAAGGAACTTCTAATCATCTAAACGATTTACAAACAATTAATTGATATAAATTATATCGGAAATCCCATCCTTTTCTACCCTATATTGGACCATATATGGAAAGACTAGAATGCCGGAGAAAAGAACGTGAATTCGTATTTGTCGTAAATCAAACTTAAACTTTATTGAAAAGAATTACCGTGGACGAAGGCTAGTACAAAATATTATGTCGATCATAATTATTATATGTATAAGAAGTATTAGAAGGTTGGAATCTCGAGTCTCATAGATATAATAGGATGTAATTCCCGTCTTTGTTCCTTTTTAATTAAATCAATAAAGTCGTAACATGAATTAAAAAAAAAGAAGTATTGGAAGGATACATTACGTAAAAGAATGTCATGACATTTTCTATTCTAGAATTAGGGATGTTAACGGTCCGGTCCGGTCCGTCTTGGTCCGGTTTTCGTCGGTCCACGGTCCGGGACCGGGCCGAGGACCGGGACCGATCGGTCCTATAGGACTGTGGTCTGTAGTGTTTCGATCCGGGCAGAAACCGTTATCCGGATAAATTAAAAAAATATCCGGTTTCTATCCGGATTATCCGACTCGGATAAAAATCCGGATATATCCGGATAGAAACCGAAACCCGGATAAAATTAACAAAATTTTTTTTTACTATAGATAATTTTTATTAAATAAAATTAGTGGCATTCATTTAATTTAATATATGGAATTTAATTAATTTAATATGTAACATTTATTTAATTAAATTCGTGGCAATTATTAAATTCAAATGTGGCATTATTTAATTAAATTAGTGTATTTTTTACTTAAATATGTGGCTTTTATTTGATTAAATTCATGATTTATTTGATTAAATCTGTGGCTTTAATTTGTGGCTTTATTGAACTAAATTCGTGGCATTTATTAAATTTATAACAATTAAATTTCACGGGATTCTTGTAAAAATTTATTAATCAATTTATAGCATTTATCCTTTATTTATTAAATTTAAATTACAGTTAAACTAGTCCTAAATAACCAAAATAAATAAATACTGTATAATATTAACTATATTATATAATTAAATGCTGAACTATATAAATTTAATAATAAATGCCGCGAATTTAATATTTTATATTCAAATTATGCGATATAATTTAAAATTATTTCCTTGTAGTTAATGAATAATTAAAAATAATAAAAAATATATTATTATATCTTTAAAGTAAAATCTAGCCTTTATATAATATGAATTTACCAATATTAAAAATATATGAAATGTTATGAAAATTAATAAGTGATTTATTTTTTATCCGGATTCCGGGTCAATCTTACCATTTTTTATCCGGATATTTATCCGGGTAAAACCGTAATTATCCGGATACCTAAAAAAAAAATTTATCCGGGTTTATCCGGTTGAACCCGGAAACGGATCGAAACACTAGTGGTCTGGACCGCGGTCCATAAAAAAATTTCTACCGGAATTAACAAAATTTCCTTTTTTGGAAATTAGTGTAACAACAAACTTCAAAATAAAATTTTCCTTTTTTGGGATTGTGTACGTTACACTGCCATAATTCGGGCCGGCACTATGAATTTTAGTTAAAAAAAAATTTCTTATTAGGAGCGTCTATAGGACTGACGGTCCTATCGGTCCGATCCTAATGCGGTCATCGGTCCTAGGACTGAACCACGGTCTGATCGGACCGTTAACATCCCTAGCTAGAATTCATTTAGTTTCGATATTTAAGCGAACTAAAAAAAATGCCAAGTGTATTTTTCGCTGTACATACAATATATATATATATATAAATTGTACATCGTTAAATATTAATATTAAAACAAGCCTCTTATTGTAATTTTCAACTCCCTTATGATTATTGATAATGCTTTTCCTCTGCTTGATCGTTATTTATTTGTATCTTGATGAGTTCACTTTGGCTTTTACTCCTAAAATAGTTTGGGGCCACAGCGCCGTATTTGCAGATTCTAGAATATATATTACAGGTGGTATCATTCCCATAAGCCAGGATAGTTTTAAAGGAGAACATTCCAAAGAATTTTATTATTTAAACATTGGGAAACCCTTTGGAGTCGAAGCAGGAGATAAATTACCGTGGGTGGATCTTAGTCCCGTATCGCAAATTCTTCCAACACATGCATGGAGCGCTTTTTCAAATTGTGGTGATTCTCTAATTTTGTATATTGGTGAATCTAATGGATCAGTAGAATACGGTGATGTCTACACTTACAATTTACAACAGTGGAACAATCTTATGACCATCAATTCACCTCCATCTTATTATCACAGCCGGAGCCAGACCGTTTGTGATAAAACTGGAAAAATGTATAGATTTGGTGGAAACTTTCAGCCGATTGGCAATCCTGTAATTAATAATAAAATGAATATTTTGGATATACATACGCGAGTGTGGAGAAGTAGTGGTGCTCCAGTAGGAATGTACGATCATACGGGTACATTGTTACCAAACGGTTATATTGTTTATATAGGTGGTAGATTTAATGAACTACTTGTAAATATGTCAAAGGTAAATCGGCACCGTTTAATTGATTAATTGAGAGTCTAAATTGTATATTTACCGATCATTTTTTTTTTTTAAAAAAATAGCTACTTTTATATAATATAAATGATAATACATGGACTCCAAAGGTAAGGTGTTTCTTTTAAATTAAGTTAATCGTTCATTTCTCTTATAAAAGATACATTATATCTCAGGAAACCTTTGGCGATACGCCAACATCTCGTGCATACCATTCTGCCGTTCTGAGTAATTATATCTTTAATCTTATTTTTTTGAATTAGATTCAATAAAATGAGTAATATATTAAATTGTTCTCTAAATTATATCTGTCTCTTATACACATCTAGATGTGTATAAGAGACAGGGCATTGATGATACTGCAGCCGATGATCTTGTAATATTAGATACATCACAAGCTAATTTTACATGGTCAATAGCGAATGTCTCCACAAAATCACCACTTTCACGTACTTACCATACGGCTACTTTGGTCGGTCATTATATGATCGTGATTTTCGGAAAAAATAATGAATTTATATCACCAACCACACAAAATGAAGTATTTATTTTAGACACGAGCGATAAATCTAATTACAAATGGATTAGTAAGTTTGATCCTAATCTGATACTTCCCACGTCTCCAACAACTCCAGATCAAAATTTAAGTACTCGAAACAGAAATCTAGTAATTATAATTTTATCAATTGTGCTTGCCTTGATAGGGGCTTCATTTCTTATATACTTTTATAGGAAAAGACGACTATTAAGAACAGATATGTTTGTACACTTTCCACAGATAAATTAATGCCTACGCTGTGAGGCAAATTAAAAACTTGGAAAGCCGACGTGTTAGTTTAATATGATTAATTCATTTAATTTAGGAGAAAAAAATGGTTATTAATATTTTGTTACACAAAACATTACATAATGTGTATTAAGATTGGAGACGAACATTAAAAAAAATTTTTATTTTGTTTTGCTACAATAATTTGAAGTATATAATCAGTTTGAGTGCAAAGTTCCTATAATGTGTACAATAAAATAAATGTGAATTGGTTATATGACTTGAAAAATATAAAAAATAGACAATTATTATAAAAAAAATTTTTTTAAACAATATACATTGAGTTTTAAAATATTTTTAAAATATTCATAGCTATTTTTCCTTAAAATTTTTTTTAATTTGAGAATACAGAATCTATTCATTGTTCGTTTTGAACAATTATTTTGAGTTTTGAGTTTACGCTTAAAATAAATGTTCAGATTTTTAAACATCTCTAAAAATATGATGTCGTATTTTTAGTATACAGAGGACTACTCTAGGTGGAACCCATGCATTAGCACAAATAGCAGAGAACTTCTAAGTTCAACACAAAACCATGCAACGTTAATGATCTTTTTTGTAAAAATTGGTTTTAGCATATTTCTAATATAATATCATTAGTAATAAACAATAAATGATTGAATTTTTCCGTATATAGAAAGAAAAAAAAAGGTTTAAACTTTAATATTAGAAACACAAATTAAGTTCAGGCTGAAATGGAAAATACTAGAAACAAAGTGTTGCGTAATCATTCAAAAAAGGAAATTGTTGAAAGTGATGTTATCCAAAATTTTAACGCCTATCTCTACGAGAAAAAATTTTTTTTTTTTTTTTTTTCTTTCACTAAAAAGGTCTGAAAATTCGGTTTATTTACTGTTACACCAGTGCCTGTATACATTCTATAAAGAATTTTTTTTCTATACAGAAATTCTTGTATGGAACGAATAAAATATCTCATTTAAAAAAACTTTTTGTAATTTTTTTTCAAAAAAAAAAGATCTCTTGTGTTAACAATTACTCTTAAAACATGAGCCTTTTTGTAATTCTGTAGCACAGCAGGTGGAAATATCAAATAATAATTTGTGGCGTAGCGATAAAGCCGTTATACCGCAAACGATTTGACTTAGAATTGTTTTAGTGGACGATTCATATTCGTTACACCTTAATTTATCAAGAAGAAAACAATGTCGCATTAAAATTTCGATATACTCAATTAAGTACGCATTTAATTTTTTGAAGTAAACATTCTTTTATTTAATAACTATACTTGATATAGAATAACCAATCAATATTAGATCACATGACTTTAATTAAGATTTTTTTACCAAGGTCAAATTATTGTATATAAGTAACAAGTTGTTAATGGGCATTCTAAACTTTTTTATATGTGAGGTAATAACTTGAAATTAGAATAACTGAACATTTATTGTTATAAATTATTGTATTAAGAAATATCAAATTTTGAATTTATAAAACTAAAATCTCAAAAAATTTTTTTAATAACGAAAAAAATGAAAATTTTTATCATTGTAAGTCTGTAAGTCACATGATTAAAGTACTTTTATATGGATTACTAATTCTGATAATTCATATCTTTTTTGGTTTGGTTAAATTTGAATAATAAAAATAATATAAAGAAAATAATTTTAATTTTACTTGATTTTTAGGTAGTAAAATTTATGAAAAAAACATTTATTTAATGTTAATTACATGAATAATCAAAAAGTAATGTACAGTACAACATTTTTTTTTTTTTAAAAAAAAAATATATAATAATAATAAATTACAATTGTTTCAATTACTTCTTTAACTAACTTATTAAAGATCATAGTTTAAAATCACTATCCCACAATTTTTACAAAAGAGAAAAATACTATTTGGATGCCTCTTGTTCGGCGGGTGACAGGGTCGACAGTTTTACAAACACAATTTTGGGCAACGGAAATTTTCAGATTTAGCATTTAACGCAGTGACAAAATCCGCCGATATGATGTATATTTATATTTTATATTCATTTTAATATATATGTTTTCTGAAACATTCTTCACTGAAATGCAATTTTACCAACATGAAAATCACCCGACTTGAAAATTATTTAAATAAATTCGTTAACTGCGCCTCGCTCCTTACTGCGGTTTAATTTCAAATTATTTTAATATTTAATGCTTTTAGAAAATTAATTTCAAATTGCAATATAAAATTAAAAATTTATTAAATAAATAACTTCCAATTTGTAATAGTTCTAAAGTTTTTCAAATTTAGTAATCTTGTTTCATATAAAAAATAAATATTATTTTATGCTGGTATAACAGGTATCGGTAAAATGAGTGAAACGTTACATTATTGTTAACCAAGTAAGTCATAGATTTCTTAAAGATCCTATATGCAATATGTCCATCATTGTACTTATAGAAGTTCTGACTTCTGATGAAAAGGATGCCCGAATAGAGGCTGGAGTGGTGACCAAAAAAATCCGTACGTTTTATACTGGTCACATGATGAAAGTTCAAAACCTGCATCAGGAATATGGGTTGGAGTTGTGATCGAACTAATGATCATTCTCCTAATTTTATTTAATATAATGTTCTTTAAAACAATTTTCGCATGACAATTTTCAACTTTACAACTATTATAACACGTCGTCTTAGGATATCAAACAATAAAATAAAAATATTTACTCGTTGATAAAAGCAAATATATGAGTGAAATGGGTTTCCATTAAGAGTTTTAGTTAATGAGTAAAAAATTCGGATTAAGTTTGAATGTGAATAAAGTTTTATCTATTATCATAAAAATTTCTCAATTAAAAGTGATAGGTAGCGGTGTGTAAATTAAGGATAAATTACTACAAAATTTATGGCGTTGTAAATCCGGTGTGGAAAAAAAAGATAAAATTCCGATTTGCGATTTTATTGGATGACGTCACGTGAGGGACAGAGAAACTCACGGGATCGATCATTTTTCATAATGCGTAGACATATAATAGTGTTTCGTTTCGCTCCAGACAATAATAATGTTATATGTTATTCCCTTGTCGGTCCGTTTTCTGAATTCCACTTTTCTGAATATACCTTTTCCCAAAGTCAATTACCTAAATGCCAACTTCTTGAATAGGACCCCGAATTTTTATAAATATCTCGGATGGACAATTTCAATATATAATAGTATACTGTAATCTCTTTATTTTATATGATTTATAGTTCTGTAAAATAATTTTAAGTATCAAATTTTTATTTTACACAAGAATAAATACAAAAAAAAACAAATACAAAATAAGGTTAATACGCTTTTTAGATCATTCAGAGACTTCTCCATATAAATCATGATCGAATTTTTTAACTATACTTTCTACTTTATATCAACAACTTACAATTGTCATTCGAAAGACTTTTAATAACATAGGATGTTTATGTTCAACTTTTCAATTATCAAAAAATAATTCGGTTTTAATGAATTCAATCTAACTTGATTAACGGAATAAAATTTAAAATTAAATAAATTATTTGGTGAAAATTTAGATAAAATTCCCAATTTGTAGTAACAATGATAAAAATAATCCATTCAAATATAGACATTTAATTAATAATTTTTCTAATTCCATAATATTACTCTTTCTAAACATTAGATTAAGATATTGAAGGTTCGGGCAATTTTGATAAATAGCCCGAACAATCCTTTTATTAATAACTCTCATCATGACCTACATAATCAATTTTTAATATTTGTAAATAGGGTAATGATAAATTCTCTATATGATCCCAAGCCATATCTTGAAAACTACCGTCCAATTCTAATATTTTTAAATTTATAAGAGGATTTTTCTAGAATTTTATAAAATGATTCCATTGATTCGATCCGTCATGTCAGATTCAGAGCTCTAGTGTAAAAGTGTTATTTTTAAATGTGCCTGTTATTAAATTAATAAAATGATTTTATTTTATGTATTTTAAGAAAAAACAATTTTTTTTTTCTCTTCAAGATAAAATGTTCCATGCAAAAAATTAGATATGTGGTTATGTGAGTTTAAATTATGTATACTGTAAGTAATAATATAATAAAATTCGTATGTATATATAGTAAAAAAAATGCAATCATATGTATTACACAGATTATTTGACGATATTTACAATTATATTTGCTACTTTAAGTAATTTTTGAAATAACTAAACTTTTAAAAGTTTATATATCATGTATTAAGAAAATTAAGATTTGATGATCGTCATATTTGGATGTGTAAAATTTGTTTGTCATACGTATACAATGCTTATAATACATTTTGCATAAATATTATTACTATATTTATTCATAATAATAAAAGCATTTAAAAATAATAATAAAAAAGATATTTACCAATAAAATTCGGTAATAAATATCATTTGATATATATACAGTATATATATATAAAAGGATAGTGAGAATTTTGGCATAGTAATGGGCCAATGTGTTGGTAAAGGTAAAGCATATAGCATGAATACATAATATAAATTGGAATTATTCAAATTTTAAAACAAACTTGCAATATAATAAAACTAGTTGTATGCAATATCAAAGAACCTGAAGAAAGTGACACTGAAGAATCTAAAGGTATATAAAAAGCTGAAATATTAAATTTTTATTTATAAATAATTCAAATACTATCTATGATTATATCTTATATAATATGAAATATAATTTAGACTAACTATATTATATAAAAATTATATTAAATATTTAGCTCGTAAGTTGATAAGCTATCTTATAATTAAATAATAATGAAATTACTCACTATTTTCATTGTATTTCATATAATTAAATAATTTATTTAATAATAATACTATATAGTTGGTAAGCTATCAGTTATTTAATTCTTTTTACATAATATTTAAATAATAACTAAATTTTTTATTTAAATAACTATTTAATAATTAATTATATTACAGATGGTAAGTTACAATAGATTATATT